GCCAACAGTCTGGTGTTGGATGGGAGGCAGAGGGTCGGGGGGGTAGCATTACTAGAAGACTGGCAAGATGGATTTGCTGTGTGATCTTGGTGACATTGCGAGAATCCCATTTCTTTCTGAGATGCAGCATTGTCGAACCAATCGATCAGCTGCTATCCAGACTGAAGGGTGACATTAATGAGAACTTATTTTGTGACTGGGTCCAATGTTTCTCAGGTTGGGGGGCAGGTGCACACACCACAGCATATCACTCTCCTGAAAAGCCTTTAGAAGGCCCTCATCCGGGAGTCATTCAAAGTGCTGTCCACCCATCAGGCAACTGGTCCCAACTGGCCCCCAGCACACCCCTCGGAGACCTCTGTGTTTCTGCATTGGCTGATTCCTGTCTCAGTCCTGCACTCCTCACATTTACTTTGATGTTTAATCCCATCCTGACTGTGTCCTCCTTCAGTCAGTGGAGCCGCTCGGCCAGTCATGAATATCCAAAGGTCCGCTTACTTGACAGGATTATCCCTCTTTTCAAAGCCACTGGGGACGATTCTTCAGCCACAAAAAAACACACTCAATGGATCTTCTGCTCATTCGCTTTGTTTCTCTGGCTTTCCTTTACTCTCACTCCCTTCTGTCTCTGTCCCTCTGGGCTTTTACTTAAACACATTGATCCAACCGATCAAGGAGTTCATCTGCTGCTGTTCACAGATTATTGAAGACACACACGCACTGGTGTTGTTAAGTTCTTAAGTATCTAGCGTCCTGATGAATGTATAAATGGAATGAAGTACCAGCTTCTCTGAGTTTTTTTGGTGGCAAGGCTGCAGGTTCATGAGTCCAGCATGCAAATCCATTGCTGGGCCATTATCACCAACGCTGTCATCTGAGATCAACAGAAATGACCCATTATCAATCAAAAGAAAAGAGGATCCTGCCAGTCACCTGGAAAATATGTTGCCATTGTAAGTTTGGACAAATGAATCTTTCTGTTCGGTACAATACAAAGGTATTTGTGCGTACCACACGTGGCGTTTATCGAGAAAACATTATCGCAAGTTACGAGGCTCGTGGTGGAAGGCTCGAACAAACACGCGACCTTCAAACCAAAAGCAAATGTTGATTTTACACTTGTGACATAACGTTACATGAGAAAGTCCACGTTAGGTGTTTGTCTATAATAGCGTTACAAAGCTATGTTATTATGGGCTTTTTTTCTAATTGTAATGTCTAGGGATGTGGGTTCAGTATGATTTCGGTCCAAGAGGGGCTCAGCCCTTCTACAGGGGAGACTAACATGAGCATCTCCCTCCTGTCGCCTCCTGTGTGTCAGAGTCCACCACAACGCACAGTGGTTTAGGATGAGCAGATGAGACTGATTCGGAGTAAACATCTGTCCCATGGGAAAGAGTGACCTCTGAGGGCTCATATTCACCCCAGAGCTCCAGCGATCGCCTTGTAAGTGTTAAATCCACCCGCCTTTGTCTGTGACAGCTTCTCTGTGTGTTTATCTTCTCTCTTGTATTCTTCCTTTGCTACATCATGGACTGCGGTTGGTTTTCCACCACCTTTGATGCATCCCAGCGATCTCTAATCCTTTCAGCTAACACAACACGATGCGCACAGCCGAAAGGGTGTGCATCTGTGCTGTGTTTTCAAGAAGGTTTAAGTCCAGTTTGCAGCAGTGTACGACTGATGCTCCCCTTCTGTTCAAAGTTATGAATATTTAAACTGTCACCGAATCAACCGCGCACTCCCGGCATCAATGGGTAAGTCAGCCTGCCACCAACAGTGGATGAGAAGCTGTTTATTCAAATCCGGTCTGTGGGATGTGAAGCCCAGCTGCTATTGGCCGGAGTGATGAGGTTGGAAAGATGCAGATTCTCTTTCAACTTTAGCAGCGTGTTTATCTGGGTTTATGATAGAAAACGGTCATGAGAGCTGTGACTTTGCATCAACTAAATTAAAAAATGTCTCCAACAACAGAAGACAACACATATATTTCAAATGCACTAGTGTTAAATACACACACGAGGAAAAAGAAGGTGTTTGATGAATGTTTACCCAAACACAGCAGTTGTCGGAGGGTGGTTGGATGATGGGTAACGCATGTTAGTAACCAGTTGGCAGCAGATGGATTGAAATGGGGAACTGTCACAGGGGTTATCAGCCCTTTTCTCCAGAGGACAACGGGTTCCACTATTCATTCAAATATGAATTAAATATAAATATTTGATGCAAATTACTAGCTTTATCTTCTATTGATGTTTTCTTATATCCCCATGATGTGTGAATGCTGAATGACAGTAAGAAACTACAACAACTTGTCAACTTCATTTAAAATAAATCCCTGAAGACCTCTCCATTTCAGTCAGTCAGAAGAGAACAGCCACCGATATTAGTAAAACCTCTGTGCTTTTTGCACAAATGGCTGCTTTGAAAAAGTCTTATAATAAATGATGACGAAGACGTCAATAAAGTCTTTGACTTATTGCACTGATAGCGATACCGATAGGACGGTGTTTTCATTTGAAAAAACAGCACAGTGAAAAAACTAACAACGGTAAAAGTTTCTCCTTAAAAAAAATAGCTCTGCAGTCTGTTTCGACCTAAGCATTGTTGGTGAATAATTAGTGGGTTTGATATCTTTTCTGTTGCTTTTGAACAAAGTGAGGTTTACGACCTAAAATTACTCGACATTGAGGAGACTTTTGTTTCTTTTGCATGTCAATAATTAATTGTCCAAACCTCTGTTGTTATTTTTTTTTTACGTCACATAGCATTTGTTGACCTAAAAGCCAGCCAGTAATGAATGTTGATTGTGAACTTGATTGTGAAGACAAAAGAGGAGTTTATTTTTTTTTGTCCATTTGAAAAAATCTTTACTCTCTTCAACAATTTTAATTGTGTGACAGCGGGAAGCCTTTGAGTCTCTATTCACACATGGTTATTATTTACCAAATACCACGGACTGACATGACAAAACACTTGAAGAGCCACAAAAGGATACATTTATTACACATGTGAACCCTACATCACTTGTCAAATCAAATTAAGCAAACACCTGTCTGAGAGACGCTAAGACACTTTTCAAATCAAGAAAAAAACGTAATACTTAATTGTTTTAATAGTATCTGCACTCTTTGGTCTGTTCAGCCTTTGAAAAAAATAAAGGTGAACATTTCTGGCTACTGATTTTGATTCGTCCATCCTCACAATGTTGATGCATTTCTGCTCTTCAACCTTCTGTAACACAACTTGAAACACCCAGAAAAGTGGATATAAATTGATCTTTTCGTGTGGTGGTTGACCTGTTTAATGTGTCGCAATGATACGGATGTCCTTCTGCAGGAGACGTCGTGCAGATGCGGTGATGAAAGTAAAACTCAAAGAATGAAAGATGAATTGGGGAGCAAAGGGTGTTTCCACATGCGGTGACGTTCGTCCCTGTAAATAAACTGCTTTTGCCGTATTGCACCAAATGACCTCTCTCTCTCTCTGAAACGTCCTACAAGACGCTGAAGGACTTTGAATAATTCAATCCCAGTAATGAGACGAATAAACAAATGCGTGCATGAATATTCAGAGATTTAGTTCATATCGTTCCATCTTCAAAAGCCTTTGGAAAACATTGTAACAGCAAGCACAATCTGCTATGCAGCTGCTGCCTCCTGAAGTGCAGCGGCCTCCATACGCACCGCTGGCGTGTTTGTGCGCGTTTTCGGCGGGAGTGAACGCAATTTTATTGAGCAAAGCTGCGCGATTCTAAATGCCGTTTTCTCAGGTTCTTGTTGCACAAGTTACAAAATAAATATCTGTGAATGAATGTATGAATCTTTTGGTTTTGCAGCAGATGCGCTGCGCAGTGGGACGCATAGAGCGCGCACATCACGACCGGTTGGTTTGAAACGAAGCGGATCAACGCTCCGCTGCGTCCAAGCTGAGAAGTTAGTTTGTGTCATGAGGGCACAACAAATCTAAATATTTCAATTCACTAAAACTGTTTTGAAATACGAATTTCAACGATCTAAAACAAAGTGCAGTTTCAAACTCAATCATTTCATTTAATTCAAGAAATACACAACAAATATTAGATGGAAATAATGCATGACTATTAATTTGTTAATTATTAGAATTATTAAACATTCTTATTCAATAAGAACCAATGAGGTGGATTTTTGTTTATGTTCTTTCTTTCTTTATTTTGAACGAAAAGCCTTTGGATTGTCCCTATCCAGAAATTAAGCCGCTTTTGAAATGTCATTCAAATGAAAGAGAAGCAGAATGATTAAAGGTTTCATATCTTATTGTAATAATAAAGCCTTTCAAAATAAGATTTTGATTACCTCACCAAAATAATATTTGTATTACATCAATGTTGTAATAGACTTAAATTATTGTAGGCTAATTGTGGTATTAAAAGTCCATTTGAGTTAAAAAAAATGAAAAAATGTAATTTTCCTTTTAGACAAAGACTCAATTAAGTTAAATGTTTGGAGTTTTGTGTTGATAAAGCGGACTTTTTCAGTGTTTCAGTGTTGGCCTGCTGGATGAATCAGTGCTGTTGTAAAGCTCAATTATACGTGCACCCCCCCCCCCCCCTAACCCTCTTGATTGTGAAAACATTTTTTTTTTTAAACAAAACAACAAAAAATCACCCAAGTTGTTTTTCATTTTTCAATTAATTGTCTTTATTTCACATTTCAAACCCCAACACAATCAGAGATTCATCTGAAATTCCCGTCGAAAATAAGTAAATAAATATCGTTTTCATTTTTTTTTTTAATAAAAAAATAAACAAGTGGCCATTGTTCTCGTCGGGACAGAAAATAACAGGGAGGAAATAAAGAAGAGACAAGCGTTGAATAAGACGGATAGAATGAAGCAGGTGCAACATGTGAGGGGCGGGGGAGTCTTCCCGCACATTAACAAGACTCTAATATATGAATAAACCATCTACATATTTACACTCTACACCCCCCCCCCCCCCCCGCCCCTCCCTCCCTCCCACCCCCCCTCCTCTAGGCCCACAGAAACAAAAATCAATTTGATCTTTTAAATAACTGCAGAGACACACACGTGCCCGGGCCGACAGAGACGTCCTGTAATAAGACACACCTGTTACAGTTGAGGTTAATTGCCATAAAACACTAAAGTTAGTTACAAAACCCCAAAGACCCATTCGGGAAAATAAAAATGGATTCTTTACTGGCTCCGTCGACGCAACGGAATCGGCGACAGAGATAAATAAAAAAAAAGGAGTAATAGAACGGGGAGTCAGCAACAACCCCCCCATCTAAAGTTCGTCTCCGCTTTGGAGCCTCGAGTCACTTGGAGTCGCTGGCCAGCCTCGGCATGGTGACCGCGCTCATGCCGGTCACGTGCGGAGGCGGGACTTGGCACATGCTGCACGGGCACGGCATCCCGGTGCCGACGCCCCAGTGCTGGAAGCTGCTGCCCAGCGGCCCCGCGCCGGCTCCGGGCGCTTTGAGGAGTCCGTGGTGGGGTCTGACGGAAGCGACGGCGGAGATGCCGGACGCGGACAGAGACGCGGTGGAGACGGCCGGCGGCAGGAGCGGGTGGTGCACCGCCGGGTGCGCGGCGTGGGAAACGACCGGGTGACCCGGCACGGGACCCGCGTGTGCCATAGTCCCGCAGGCCGCCGGGTGGAAGCCGCCGTGGTGCCCGCCGCTGCCGTAGATCTCGCTCACCAGCCGCTTCATCTCCTCCAGCGAGTTGCTCAGCATCAGGATGTAGTTTCTCGCCAGCAGCAAGGTGGCGATTTTGGAGAGCTTGCGCACCGATGGTCCGTGCGCGTAGGGCATGACCTCCCGCAGCCCGTCCATGGCCACGTTGAGGTCGTGCATCCTTTTCCTCTCGCGGCTGTTGATCTTGAGGCGGATGGTCTGCAGCTCGTTCTCCGACAGCAGCTTGTGGTCCTTCTTGGCCAGCCGGATGGCGAGGGACTCCTCGTCTTCCGCGGAGAGGCCGTGCAGGCTGGCGAGCTCCGCCAGATGATCGCTCTGGGTGGAGGACACGGCGCCGGAGAAGCCGTGCACCGACTTCTTGAGGGTGGCCAGGAAGATGTCGTCCACCTCCGGAGATGAGGGTCTGCTCGAAACGCGGCTCGTATCTGAGTCCATGTTCTGTGTTCCAGCACGGTGAGCTGAAGAGGGAGAACACTGTCCTGGTTAATTTACTCAACTGCAGAACACATCTCATGCCAACGGTACAGAAGATAACATAAACTTTTTGGACGTCACAGCGACGGTTGGTTATAATTTATTGCGATTTGATTCGTTTCGTTATAATTAAACGCAGTAATTTCGTAATCCAAATCGCATCTTTAATTAATTTTCATAGCTTTAAAGAGAATAAATCAATACTGAATCCTTCAGAAAGGCAGCCCAATATTTAAACAAACAAAACCTCCTCTCCAAATTTGCTCGGGCTTACAAACAACTTTTCTGTTGATATTTGATCACACGGAGGGTTCATCTCATTCCCACGCTTTGCGTTTAGCAGAAGGAGAAACACAGGTATTGTCAACATCATTCCTAAAGCAAAAACCAATAATCAGACACGTACCACGAGGGATGTCCAAGCGCGAAGGGTGAGAAAACCTATTAACGTCAAATCCACTTGTTACTCCCAGATTGCCGGTGACAGCCCATTTGGCACGCCGGCGTGCGACCGCGCGCCTTTATAGCCGGAGCTGGAGGCGCACGGAGGCCGGGTCACCAGGACAACGCACTCGCTGTCCCGGCTGCCTCCCCTCGACCAATCAGCTCCTTGCAGGGAGGAGGAGGAGGAGGGGGATGATGAGAGGGAGGAAGGAGGGGGGGCGGAGGGTGCTCCAGCCTGATGTAATTATACCAACACGCAGCATTAAGTGAAATGAGACGCACTCCCCTCCTACATATGGCTCCTTCTGTGGAAATGCTGGCCCGCGTGTGGATGGGTTTGATTGAAATAACACAGATGATAAGCCATATTTTTCGCGCTATAAGTGAAATGTTAATTTGTCTGTATTAGCCATTATCCCTCTTTTTAAAAACTGTTGGAATTGGTTAAGGCGACTTTGGTTGATAAATAAGTAAAAACAACTTTTCTGAATAATATATTCTTTATTTTTTGTCATCATTTGTGACCCATAATTCGTTCCCCAGCTCTTATTTATTGTCTGCTCCTTCTAACCTCCCGATCCGTGTGGCAAAACCCTTCCAATGTTTCCTGCTCGCTGTTTTGTCGCCAATTGCGCACGTTTTTCCGTTGTTACCCGCTGTCGACCAGCAGCTGCCGTTAAAGTGCATCTTCAACGTTAATTAATGAAGTGTGCAAAATTGTTCCTAACGGTTATGATCCGTAACGTTTCAATCAGTGCGCAGCGAGCGATAGCGGTGCGGCCTGCTGCCATAAGGCCCCGGGCCGCTGATTCGCGCTCGGGCGTAACTCGGAGTGACAGCCGCTTTGTCCCCGACTACGAGCGGCGCTCGGCGCTAATTGCCTCGACACGTTTATCGGTTTGCACAGGACTTCACCCGGGATGCCCTCATTCAAATATTGATCGAAAAGGAAAATAACGTTAAATTAATTCATGTTTTTTTTTAGACTATATATTGGCTCGCTCAGATTGTTATTCCTAAACATACAACATTTTCCAAAGAAATCCAAATGAAATCCAGAAAATGTTGCCCTCTGTTTTAAAAAAAAATTTCGTTACTATTTTATACCTGAGCCTACATTGAATGTTTATCTTTTATTTTAAAGCTAAATGAAATGTAAATGATGGTATATCTGTCTTATGAGGTACATTGTTTGTTGATCGGATCTTAATGTTTGAGGCCAATCTCAAACAAATATCTTACCGCGAGTCAGGTGTCACGCCCCCCCCCTTCTCATTTCCTCACCGTTATATCTGCTTGCTTCCGTCTATGTGCTTCCTCCCGTTAAATAAGATGATGGTGATGAAGGCGGTGCAAGTGGTGTTTTAAATGAAGATGGTTCGCATCGTGCCACCTCGTGCTTCATTAGACATTCCCACACTCACTGTTGCACTGTGCAGGTTCACCATGAGGCACACAGAGCAGGCTCCTTTCACATCTTTTAGTGCATTTAGAACATTTTATTAGTCCAGTTGGTTTGCTGAATGATGAACGTCAATCATCATGCGTGCTGGCATTACGGAAGGCTTGCCTGAACCCTCACACGGGGTTTCAGAAATGCATGTCTTTCTCAACCTTTAATGGCACATGACCTTCAAAACCTTGAGGAAACATGAAACAATGAATATTATTCATCTCCTTCGTATTGTAAACCTGTCAAATTAATAATATACTGCTATCAGCTTTACAAATGTCTGTAAATCCATATTATGGTCCCAGAGCTGAGATACTGAACCTGTGATGACCATCATTTGCAGACCAACTTTTACCCTGTAACATCAAAAACGTCATCAAGAAAAATTCAAAGAGGGGATTTTCCACAAAATTCAATAGATGAATGTCTTTGTGCTCCTCCTTTTGATCTATTGACGACAGCTCTGCTGGATACAAACAAGTAAATACCATAAATACAGTGAAATAAGGAGTATAATTAAAAAGCAGAGAGCCGTAGTTACAATTTCTATAATGTTATTTTGCACAATGTAATTCGGAGTGAATGTCATACGTGCTTTATCAGCTTTTGTTCTTCTGGCTTAGGCTTTCCTTGACATTCCTACGCCCCGTCTGCAGGGACTCGCTCCCATCCGCCTGAAGAAACCACGGCTGTGGGGTGAGGAGGTCGGGCCCCGAGTGCCGCCCGGTCAAGTTCACTCCACACCAAACTGGGAGAACCGTTTATACCGAACCCAGCTCGGCATCATCATGGTGGAACACAAAATGTTCATAGCGGAAAATACGGTATCCTGTGATATAGAAACTAAGAGTGGGAAAAAGAAAAAAAAGGTTTGTGGTGAGAGGTGTTTGAAAAGTGTTGACCCTCGTCTCCCCCCACCCCCTGTGTGTGTGTCTCTGTCTCCGTCCATCAGGCTGGGTGGCGGTAGGCCCGGTGCCGTGGTGAATACCAATAGTGAGGAGGAGCATATGTGAGCCATACTTAATCCTGCTAATCTGCCTCCAAAATAAAAAAAAAGGGAACACAAAAAAATACAGAAAAGAGGAGAGGTTGGAAAAACACGAGAGAAGGTTTCTCTTTCTGTCTGAGGAGCTGGCCGGCTGAGGCCAAGTGAACTGAAAGACGTGAATAACGTCCGTGGCTCTCCCCCTCCGTCCCTTTCTCTGCCAAATCTTGGAACGAAATGAAGCAAAATTCTCGCCATTGTTGAAATCTGTGGTACCATCGCTGCGGGTATACAGTGTGTGTCTCACGGTTAGACTCATTCTCCTACGGAGATCCACTGTACATTTAAAACCTATTTTGTAAATGCAAACCAGCCCAACACACTTAAAATGTTTGTGGGACGCTACCCCCGATGTGTGCAGGGTGTTTTCAGATCAATAATAAGTTAAAGATAACTGCCGAGCCTCAAATTTCAAGTTGAAAAACAGAAAAAGACATAAAGGAGAGACAAAATATTAGGATGATTAATTGAGGTCATGTGACAAACTTGACCAATCGAGAACGTGTTGTAAATAATCAGTATTATATATTAGTATTGTTCTTCTTTTCTCTTGTCAGATTCCATTTAACGAGGATGTGTGTGAGTGTGAAATAAGAGGAAAACCTCTCCAGCCCTGTTTGAGTAACAATAATGCCTCCTAAAAATAAAACAGACTTCAGTCCAGATATTCCTCAATTAGGAAGTCAGCAGGCAAAATGGTCTAGCAGTGTCCGAAGTATTAGATCCTGAAAAACAAAAATACAGAAAGTTGGAGGGGAAATTAAGAGGGACTGTTTGACACAAAGGAAAATTGATTGGTTAAATCCTTCATGCAGGCCCCTTATATGAGACCTATTTAAACTCACAGATGACCTCGTCGATATTGTTTCACTTTCAATCAAAATGTTTGGAAACCAGAAATAAAATAAAAATGAAATCACTAGAGCTAAATATACAAGTAGGCATGTGTGTGTGTGCTAAACTGACTTTAAGGCTGATATGATGAATTGTCCAAATTAAGGTGTGAACGATCATAAATGGATCGCTCCCTCATCGTCAGTATAACGACAATAATATTGGCATCAGCAACCATGTGCTGGTTGCTGATGCCTTCGGCTTGCAGTCGTACACTGAGAAGCAGCAGCCTGACTTTCGGCTAAAGCAGCAGAGCTTCACCTCGCTGATCCGCTGGTCCCTACTGGGGACAAACACCAGCAGCACGGAGCTGGAAGTAGAACGGTAGAACCAGGACCAGAACCTGGGACGACCAAGGATGACCAGGGAGGACCATGGCAGACTGAGATGCTGCTGCAATGAAAGAGAGGGTTGGTGCCTGGAAATGATTCCACTTTAGCCAACAGGGACCGCCAAAATCCACAGAAAATAAGGTTCCTCATAGCAGCTTAAGCAGTTATTTCACGGTGGATGGTAATCCATTCACAATCCATTCACATTTCACCCAAAAACATTTCACAAGCATTCATTCTGAGGTAATTCAGTCTGAACAGACAGCATGGTGATTGAAAATATTCTTAAAATGTCATTTTTATGTAAATGTTAGTTATAGCTCTACCAAACCAGAAATCACCTGGGATGTTCATACAAAGTCTCTCACGGTCTGCTCATCCAGGTGACCGATCCGCTACCTTTTGCACATGTGTTTAGGTGCAGGCGAAGTGAAGGGGTCAGAATGTCGTCAGGCCGCTGCCACCTGACGCAAGATGTGGATCCTCCCAGCAACGGCAACGTCAGGCCTCGGTGTCTAAAGGGGCTGGACAGTGTTAGGTTATGCTGGCCTGGGGGCTTTATCTCTACAACAGCTATTAGGAGGTAATTAAGTCCTAACACTGCAGAGCCTCCCATGGTTACTATAACATAACTGCAAATGGGAAGCTTACAAGCTCCTTTAGACGGCATGACAAATTGAATGGAACTCATTGGGCTTCGGCTATTATTCCAGCGGCCCCATCTGGCTGGGAAAAGATAAAGGGGATTTGCTGGAGGTTGTGAGGGGTTGAGCCTCCGTGCTCGATGTGTGTGTGAGGGATAAGGAACGAGAGGGAGGGGCGGGGTGGGGTGTGTGTGGGGGGGTCCTTGGTCCAGAGAGTGTTTTGAGGGTTCCAGAGGGATTTTATTTTTTTCTTCTCTTTGGGCTGAGCTTCAATTCAACAGGCAGCCTGAGATTTGCTTTGGCCAAATGTTACAAATGTTTCGACAACCTGGTCTCTGATCCTCGGGGGTCACCCAGGAGGGCACGGGGGGGGTACAACGGCTTTACGCCCAGAGATTTAACAAAGCAGCATGGGGATGAATATATTCACACTTGTATTCACTCCTTGGGCCTCCAGATGCTTGTTTTAGGGAGACGGAGGGGAAGACTGAGCAGCACGTTACCCACAAACCCGGCCAGCTGGCAGTTTGTGTCTTTAGTGCGCCCGTGACCGAACTTGTGTGGGTGAAAAAAGTGTCACGTTCTCTAGAGTGATGCTGTCGTTTGTCAACAAGGTTAATGATCGTGAAATTATTTTAGAGTTGTTAAAAGTCTTTTACGGATGTTTAGAAAGTTTGTGATTTCATTTAAACTGTGAAATTTCCCATCG